ATAGACTGATGTGAGTAATGGACTTGGCTAAATGAAGATGAAGTAGTGTTTGAATTGGCAGGGTAATTTAGGAGATAGTGAAAGTATTGTCTGTTGGGAACTGGAGCTGAGAGAGGTAATAACAGCTTTTTCTTATAATGAGTCTGCATCTTTGAGTTTGATCAGTGTTAAGGTTTTTAATTTCTTCAGGATTTGTCCCAAGGATATTTTGGCCTTAGAATTTTTTTTTTTTTTTAAATAAAACAGGGAAATATTTCACAGGAAAATTAGCCTCGTATTTCTTGCTCTTGGCCATCGGACATACCTTTCACCCAATACATACATTCCAAAGTGATGCATAAAGGTGGCATTTGTCCTGTGGTTTTTCCCTCATCTGATTTGCTAAATTGCACAAACATAGTAAATTAACAAGAGGACAGACATCAAGGAGACGTTAGAAGTGTGGTGGTTTAGAAAGAAAAAAAGTCCATTTCTAATACTGTCAGAAAAAATTATCAGATGTAGTAGTGGTTTGGAACCTTAATGAGCTTTTGCTATGGCTGAGTTTGAGCGGCAGAAATTTCAGTTGCATGTGTCTGGCTGCTTTTGCCAGGGAGTTAACCTTAAATTCCATCTCGGAAAAACGTGAAAAGATTACCAGGTTTCCTTGGAACAATGACACATCCTCTGCCAGGAAAAGCATCAGCCTTTCCACTGACTTAAAACTCCTGGCGAAAGACACTTCTTCAGCATTCTTGCCATCTCTTCTCTCCTGGAGATTTCTACAGATGTGTGCTATGTTTGAGATGAAACCTGCTGAAGTTCGTGTTGCCCATGCAGCAGATTCGTTGCCATCTGCTGCATCGCATCCTTCCGTGATGGGGAGCTCAAATCTCCCGGGACCTCTCCATCCTGCCTGGACCACAGTGCCCGATGCTGCTAGTTGGTTTGGCGGGGTCACTTATACTTTATAGCAAACTTCTAATAATTTTCATCTTATGAAGTATTGCAGTTTCTCTTCACCTGTGGAGAGCGACTGTATTCATTTTATGTACTTAATTACTTTGACTGGCCATGAAATGCATTTTTCACGTGCATTTGCATTTCATTCTGCAAAGGTAGGTGCAATTTGTCCGTTGCTTCACAGCAGATTTTATGGCAATAATGCATGTATTGCACTCATGCATGCAGCTCAAACCAAATCCTGGGCAGGTAAGGGTTGTTCCACAGGCTTTTGCTGCTCTCTAGAGTGGTCTTCCCTTGGTGTGTCCCGGCTCCACAACTCTGATCTGAGGTCGTTTCTTGGTGGAGTGGTTTCTTAAAGCATGGTGGTGCAGGCAGGTTTGGAGTTTGGGAGGAGACATTCTGCTGCTTCTACCTGGAAACAGACAGGGAAAAGATCTGGAGGGAGAAGGAATCCAGCATATTTTTCCTAGCCTATAGTTTTAATTCTCTAATTAATTCTCATCTAATTATTTAACGCCTTTCATGTTAAATTCTAACCTTAACTCTAATTCCATTGAGGGAGTGGGATTTTTTTATTTATTTTATTTTTCTGGTTTGTCCCTTTTTAATTTTTAAGGTTTTTTTTAGCCGCAAGATTTCAAGCTTTAGATAACAACACTGCAAAATGAGTTATGTCACCGGAAGCAAGGCGAATTCATGGTGCTAGGGAACCACTGACCCATGCAAATCTCTTACCTGGTGAGGATTTGGCATTTCAGTAGCCAACAATCCTAGTCTGGGCAACAGATTTCTGTAGTGCTTTTCCTTGAAGTGCTTTTTAAAAGTTTAGGTAGTTTATAAGAGGAACATACATAGCATTAGAAAAATGTGTGAATCTCAAAAGTTGTATTTTAATTGTTTTTCTGCCCGCTGTCACGCTGACAAGTGAAACATGCTCGTGAAATGGGGCCACTGAAAAGCTGCCTCTGCTCTAACTGAAGTCCTCTCCTCGGTTGCTTGCCCTTGCCTTTTGGATCTCTGCGTGGGGAACGTGGCAGGTCCCGTGCATCTTCCAGACAGGTTCACAGTAGGCTCGAAATTGTGGAGCTCCAGACAAACAAATGACCCTTTAAAATGCCTGCTGCCTTGCTCCAAGCGCAGATCTGCCAGTTTGCTGTGAGCATTAGGCTTGGAGGGAGAGCAGAAGGGAGCTTCCCGAGCCACTTTGGAGAGGAGAGATGAGTGTTTTGTTCTGGTGAACCCCTGTTCTGCCAGATGAATGCACACACACACAGATTCGTGCCCCGTAAAACTAGTGAGCTTTTGACTCAGACTCCTGAATGTGCTGTCTCATAACTAACTAACCCTCCTGTTCCTCTCTGCAAGAGGAATAACCAATAAATTATCCTCTGCAGGAGACTCCTGTAATCACTGTCTATCTGCTAGATTACTAGAGATGAGCTGCTTTTTTCTCAGACAGTGGGAAAACCACATGAACTAGAAGCATTTTTAAGCTAGTCCTGCCTGTGTACGTGATCAATAGAGTCTTGGCTAGCAAGCCCTGCTCTTTTTGGGAAAATTGTATATGAAACAGGTACATAGCTTAATTTTGTCTTTCAAGATACCGAGGTGAAACCGTTACTGATACCGTGAGATCCTGATTGCTTCTTCAGCTGGCCTCCTGCGAATATTCATCTTCCAGGGTATTTTGCTGCGAGGACAGTTACGTTACAGGGTAAACCCAATAGATTATCCTGTGTAAACCATTCTGCTCTCTCTGTGTCTCGGTAGGCATGAGGCTGGCTGCAGGAAGAGGAGCAAGCGTTCAGTTAGCTTTTACAACTTCACTCTGAACTAAGAGAGTTGCATATATGTAGGGCAACAAAATGGATTTAAAGTGTCGCTTCTCACTACAGTGAGTTGGTCTAAACGGGGACGTTCAGAAGGATTAAAGTGGAAACTCAACTACGTGGGTGTAAAGTTGATGACTATAAATCAGCACTGATATAGTTAAGGGAGGCAAGGCTGAAATGTCCCTGTGGGTTGACAGAGCAGGGACGTGCTTTGTTATTGTGTTTTTCTTTGACTGTAGTTAGTTTCAAAACTCAGTAGCACCTTAAATGTGAAATTTGGTAGCAAAGGATGATGATAAAGCAGGGGGGAACGTGCAATGCAGAAATAAATAATGGTCATATTTAATCACATTAATGACAGCAGGCCACACGCAGCTGCACACACAGCAATGTCACTCTTACGAATCTTTAAAATGGCCTTTTTCTGGAATGCAAAGTTTTAGTGGAATTAATCTCACCGCATGAAAGATCCTCTGCAGCAGTTAGAAAGATTTATCTCTGGGACTGTGTTGCACACCAACCTTATGAGGATGTGGGCGTGCATAAAGAGCTTTAAAGTTCTCGCTGGAAAGCTTTGCAGGAAGAAGCTCGCTTTGAAGGGAGAATTTATAGGTGGAACAAGAGGCCGTCCAGAAGCTGAAAAAGAGAGTGTGCTGAGGAACTGGGGCAGGAGGAGCTGCAACAGCAGCCGAGGGAGACGTTTCATGGGTTTTCTAGATAGGTGATTTATGGCAGAGTAACAATAGCATCCAAATGGAGGTGACGCTGAGCAGATTTCATCTTCGAGGGCTTGCACGGTGTTTTAAGAATTTCTGTGTCCTTCTAGTAAAGAGCAGCCACAGCAAAAGGCTCATAGATGTTTCCAGTTAGGTACAACTCTCTTCTTCTAAATACGTTTAGTGGTGTAAAATTATAATATATTATGGAAATCCAAAGATTTGTTTGGTCCAAAATATCTTTGTAAAGATTTGCAGTCCTGTGTACAACCATCAGAAAAGAAATTAGTACTCAGGGAGTCTGGTGGAGTGCTGGATTTGTGTGCTTTGCGACTTCCTGACAAAGAGGGCAGAGATACTGGCAAAAGGCAAAGTTGAATTCACTCAGGGCGTCCGTGGTCATTTATACGTAAACCAGTTTTCCCTTGCATCTCCCTCTTTCTCAGAGGTACATGCCTCTAGTCACCTGGTTCTGGTTTTCTCCTGCTTAAGTTCATGAAAATACAGCAATTTGTGATTTTTCTCCTCAGTCTTATGTTTGTTTCTGCTTTCATTTGATGTTGGGTTTTTTTGATTTTAGCTAATTATGATTTTTTTCCAGACTTAAATTTTTTATGTATGCATTTTCCAAGAGATAAAGTGTTGTTCCACTGGACCTTTGTGTAAAACGTCCTGGGCTCTTCTTCAACGCTTTCTATTTTTAAGCTGGCATCATTTCTGCTTAAGAAAGAAAGCGAATAACTCTTCTGGCAAGTACGGCAGTGTTTTTTGCTGGGCAATTCGATGTCCATCATAACTTCTGTTTTCAGAGAAGATTATTAACGTAAGCCATTCTAAGTATAGGGTATCATGACTAGGGGGAGTAGCAGGACTACTCGTGGTGCTCGGTACGTGTACAGGAATGACATGGTTAAATCTCTCCTCACTGCTCTGAAAACCCCCCCACATCCTGATGTTGTATTTAATGACTCTGGATGTGATGAATGGTGCCATAAACCTCTCTGTTGTGGTAAATTGCTTGACAACACTGAAATTAGGAGATATGTTTTATTAGCTGATGTCTGCCTGAACGTGTAAAATAAAAAAATGAAGAAAACAGAGGGGGGAGGGAGGAATCACTGTTATCCGATACATGAATATTTATAGAGATATTTTCAGTGAACAATTAATTTTGCAGACTTCTAAGTTAGAGATTTAATCCCTGGCTTGAACAGTTTGCCTTCCTATGACTGTTTTTGTTTTGAACCATATTTGTATTTATAAACTGTCAGGTGAGGTGCCAAAATCCAATGGCATTCGAGGGTCTGTGTAAGCCACGAATGCTGAATATTTTCTATCTGACAACTCCAGACAGACAAGCGCTTCCCCGATTCCCTGATACTCAGCATGTCTTGGAGCAAGTTGATCTGAATGTTGTGCTTCATGCATTATTACATGCCTGGCTTATCCCTGCTCACTGACCTGGTCTTTCTCTTTTCTCCACCCCTTCCCCGCTCCCTTGGTGTAGCTTTCGCTCCCGGAGGAACAGAATGAAGTAACAAGAAACGGCTGTGAATCCAAGGAACTGGTCTACCTTGTACAGATCTCTTGTCAGGTAAATGCCACGTTTTCTGCACCCCACCTCGTTTTGCAGACTGTATCGCATTCTGTTTAGCGACACAGCCTCGTAATATTTTGATACGACACTTTTCTGCAGTACGTGTGGGTTTTTTCCCACTTCTTTGCTAGCTCAGTCCTCAAAAGGATGCTGTCTGTGGTACTGCGACTGGCTCATTTTAAGAAAAAGAGTGTGGAGAGGAGAAAAAGGAGTCTGTTAAGCAAATAATCCTTGCTACAGTTTGTGCAGAGCTGCAGCATGATTAGCCTAGAGACACAAGCGTGCGTGCTTAGACCGTGCCTACATCTGCCTGGCCATTGCGGTGGGAGTGTCCGTTGACACACGGGCGCACCAGATAGATAGACTGGAGGAAGTACGTGACGGAGAACGCTGGCTGGTGGTTTTGTTGATCAAGGCGTGCTGCTGGCAGCCAGGAGATGGGGATTCTTGATCTGTTCCCAGTTACGTCTCCAGACATCTGGCATGAAATTCTTTCACTGCTTCTGCTACTGTGGTATCAAAATGCTTCGGGCAGAGAAGTCTGCCGCGTTGTACCACAGATTCCCTGCCTGCTGATATAGGGAGAATGACTTTGTAAAATGCTACGTACTAGGTTATCGTATTTTAATATGTTGAATGAAATTGTTGTTTGTAGGAGACATACTGCGTTGACAAATTCAATTGAGAGTTACTGCCTGTGTTTGGTCATTTTTCTGGTCTTAGCATAGTGGTTCTTTCCATGATTCATCTCGGCACTTCTTGAGCGTCCGTCTTATCAATTTATGCTGAACATTAATGGGAAACACTCTTGGTGGTGGCTCTTTTTAGAGCTTTTTATGTGATTTTGCTGACGTTTCTTGGGTACTAAAAGGAAGCGTACATTTGAATTGCGCGGGGATCGGAAGTATTTGCTGTCGGATTGTACCAGCATAGTGACATTAGTACACTCAGAGACAGGTTGTGAATTTGCAGTGTTCTTGCTCTTCTGCCCTAATTCTGTGTGCACACCGGTGTAGGGTGTTCTGAGGAGCAAAGCCTCCTGCTCTGTTTTGAAGGTGGAGCTTACCACGAGCTGAGCTGCAGCAGTGTAGTTAGTGTGATAGCAACACACAGAATAATTCCTCTCTGTTGTCAGTTCTTACGGTGCAAGTACACACCTGCACATGTGTGTATATATATGCAGGTGTAAATAGTGCTTTTGGGAGAGGGAAGAGAGGCGGAAAGTGTTGAGGCATTTTGCTGGTACTGTTCTAACCCAGCTGTAGCCAGTTTTGTACAAAATTACCACTTTTCAGAAAAGCAATCCAAGCTAATGAGCAGCACTGCAAAATTTAACAGTGGGCACATGTCTGTGTGCCAGCCAAGAGCAGTACAGTGACCGAGAGAGAGAGAGATTTTTCAGGGGACTTAAGGAAATTGGAATTTCAATATGTTTCAAGTCCTCTGGTTTGGGACAGCATTCGCAGTGTTTAATGCAGAGCTGAACCTTGTATTCTTTCCTGACTATTTCAGGGGGGCTTATAAAAATGTCAGTATTTTATAGAACAGTTTTTCTCTAACCCTGAAGCATACCACTTCTGATCTTTCTACCTACCGTAATGACATCTCTAAAGTTTAACAGGACACCTTCAGGTGTAATTGTGTCCTTAAACCCCGCAGAATATGTAAGTGCAGGAGCAAGCCCCGGGAGCAGCAAACAGCCGGTGGAGAGCGTGCAAGGCGTTGGTGCAGGGATGGAAGTGAGCCCAGCTGTCCAGCAGCTTGTCTGACACTTCTGTCAGGCTCTCAGATGCTTCGCAGGGACATTTCTGAGAATACAGTGCAAAGACTGGATTTGTGTGGGGGTAATGTGGTGAATGCTGGGCCTTGGCTGAGGAAGATGCCACTTTGCAGTGAGATTTAACTGAGCTGCTGTCCGATAGATCCAGAGGCTGTGAACCATTCCCACCTGCCGAGAAGTTCTCTTACCTTCTTTTTCAGTGTTACTCAACTAAAATGAAAGCACTGGGAGTTGGCCTCATTGTGTTAAAAGATGGCCATAGAACTAGTCACCTTTTCCTTTTTTTTTTCTTTTTTTTCTTTTTTTTTTTCCTTTTTTTTTTCTTTTATTTTAAGTAATCCTTCTGGCTAGCTAGAATTTCTCCCCCCGCCCCCCGCCGAAGTCTGTGATTCACTTCTCGCGTGTCAGCCTATGTCCCTTTCTCCCAGATACTTACAAAGCTGAGAAACTTGTGGCATCTGGATTCAATGAAGGGAAAGGCATGGAAGGAGCTGCACAGCTGAGCATCATTTCTACCATGGAGACACTTCACCCCTGACATCCCATGGCCTCTCCAAATGTCCGGGGAAAGATTCCATTCTGTCACGCATTGGATACCAGCGGTGTCTGGATGGGTTTGGCTCCACGTTAGAATTGAATGGGAGGTGTGAAATAGCTCATGGAATGATAGCGCAGTGGGGAGAGATTTTGGCAAGACGTGTCTGTATCAGGCCAAAACTATTGAAGGAGAGAAGGAAAAAGCCTCTAAAACAAATTTCACTTTGCTCGCCTTTTGGATATGCTGCTAGCATTGGTGTTGAGCCTGCTGCAGCAGCTTGCAAAAATCTCCTTTATTTCTCAGATGGACATAGAGAAAATGAAGTCTGTTAATTAAGGCTAAACCAATCTAAATTTAAAAGCTTTAAGATACTTATGATTTGTTGTAAAAACAGATAGCACAAGGAAGAGCAAGGGCATTGGGCCATCCTGGCTATTTTAGATTACGGACCTTGGAGAAGTAAGCTAAAAACCCTAGCTTTGGGGTTGAGTGCATTATGCTGCTGTGCCTTGCCCGGTTTGGACAGTGCAGATACAATCTGTGTGTTGTGTGGTCCATAAAAAGACATTTATTTTGTCATTTCACTCTGTAGCAGACAACAAACCAAAGCTTTTGAACATTAAACTTTTAAAACGTCCAGCTCAGTCTTAGCCGTGTTTGGCAGACTACAGTTTGGCACTTACACTAAGGAAATTCTATCCCACTCTTTCCCATCTGTAAGTATAATTTTAGTGGTGTAAAGAGAATTATTGTTTGATTTGTATTTTGCAAAACCTTCCCAGATAAGGTTTGCAAAAAAAATTTTTTTTCGAGTTGTATTTGTGACACGTTTCTGCCGCAAGTCAGCTTGTGAAATACAAGCTTTGTGTGAGGTTCAGAGGGGTTTTTTAAGGCTCTATTCAGCTTTTCTTCTACTTAGAGACCTCAAAAAAATTAATCCAGTTTATTAGCGCTTAAATAGAAGTGGGAATATCTAGAGAGCTGTTCCAAGTGTTTCTGAAAAGTGGAAAGATAGGATTCTTTTGATTCCTTTGAACAAATTTAAAGATGAAAACTAGCAAATGACAAAGGTAGGGTTTTAAATTCCATTAGAAAGAGCTGATGATAGGGGGATTTGCTTTGGATTTGGTTTTTAGAGCAACGTAGGTAGATTTTCCTTTTTTCCAAGTAAGATTGCGCTGTTTAACTTCCACTCGTTTCTAGAAGATTGCTTTCAGGTCATGTACAGTTACTGCTGTTGAAAGATTGCTATTATTAAAATAAATGTAAACAAAATCCTTTTCTGTGATAAAAGAAGGGATGGATGAATGGTAAGACTTTTAAACAATCTACAAATGCTTGAAATCTGAGGAAAGATTTTTGGGAAAAGGAGTAACGTTTGGAGTTTGCACTTTCCCAGAGTGCACACGGCATGCCACGTGCATTTATGCTAGGGAGGAAAATGTCTCTAAAGAATGTTAGAGACTGGGGGGGGGGTTTGTGTAGGAAACAGAGAAGCATAAAATCCTGAGAGGTGTGGTGTGAGGACTGTACCTGTGAACCTTCTGAACTCTGTAGACAGTGATTGCAAGGCTTAACAATGACTACGGTCCTTAAAAGACCACAGGGAATATCCGAGATCTTGCTGAGTTTATGCTGTACCTGTCGGCTGTGAAGGTCTGCTGACAGTGTTTGCAATCCTTGCTGAGTTCCGTGGGGATAAGCAAAGAATTTACAAGGTTTGCAACGTATTTAAAAGGAGTTACTATGTGTGGTGAGAATAAATCAACAAAAGTAAGAGCCTGCAAAAAGGTTGAAATAGGCCAATGCGGCCAGGATGTTTTGTCGAGTTGTAAAGCAGGCTGAAAATTGGCCCTTCTTGTGGTTTTGGATTTGTTTGTGTGACATTACAGCAGCAACTACCTGCACACAGATTTAAGTATTATAACGTAAGAATCTAAGCTTTTTTTTAAAAAAAAAAAAGAAAGAAAAATAAAAAACTTGCAAGACTGCAATGTGAGATTTGCACTGTTTCTAAACTACAAAAATCTTTTTTTGGGTGAAATTTTGAACGGCAAGGAGAGAACAAGAGAGCGGTTGTGAAAATGTTCACGTTCTAGTCTAGCCATGTCTTGCGGTTTTTATTGTTCATTTTCATTATTGCAGGTAGATTGTTGAAACAGAACTGACAGGCAGTAGAAACAAGAAATGTCAGACCATGCAAGCATGAGTGATGTTTTAAAGAAACCTTAGGACTAGATCTCCTGATAGACCCTTAAGCACAGACTGACTGTTGTGATCTCAGAGCAGAGCCACGTTACCTTCTCTGTTTTCCTGCCTTTCGTGGGATAATGCCAACGTCCTGCACAGGAATCCTCTTTCTGCTGCAACCTGGGTAGATTTCTAAGGCTCTTCTCATAGCAGGAAGCTCTCATGGTCCAAGCATGGGTTTTCTCCATTTTTCTGCACACATTTGCAGACCCTGCACTGGCAGGAAGTTGAGCCACGCGCCTTTATTGTGCAGGATGCACAGTACTTTTCCCTGTTCCTGTTTTTTTGTTCAAGGCAGCCATTGCTGTCTGTGCTGGGTTAATTTGATTGATAGAATAAGGCCTCTGATGTACTAGATGAAGGCATTTACGCAAATATATGCCACTTGTGTCTCCCAGCTCTGCCTTGCAGGAGATTCAAGCTCGGTAT